ACGTATGCTTCCTTTTCAATACGTACGTATCCTATCCGGTACATACGTATCCTATCCGGTATGTACGTATCCTATCCATTGCATAGTTTAAAGTTGTCCAGATCAATTTTACGTGAAAACCATACTGTAAGACTATCCTTTTTTTAGTGTACTGTACATTTTTGAGGTGATAGTAGTATGTGTGAAATGGAAAACACACTAATACCCGCCATTCCTTTTCCCTGGTGGCTGCTGGTGTGCCAACTTTGCATGTCATCTTCACAGATACAAAATTAAAAGAGATGGGATGATTTTCAAGATAAATTGCTGGACAAAGAAAAATTTCTGTTAAAACCACTTCTGCCAACTTGATGAACAAGTTGGAAAAAACTGAGACATGAAATCTTGTCTCTACAAGAACTATCATTAAGTACATGAACACTGTCCATAATCAATTAGAATAGTACTTTAAGTACATAGGCCTTTCCTCCATCACCAAATAAAGACAGAAATTTCTCATATGACCCCTCTGACTGATCATATACACAAGTATGTGAAGTTTACATTGACAAGATGGAGAAGTTCTTGGCCCATCTCATGTGTGACATAGCCCTCCTGAAGTTGGCCGGCAAGGGGACTGGTGTTGAGAAAACAATGTACAATAATAGATGGGATTGCTTACAAAATGTGATGTCGAGCTGTTGTTGGATACCACAGATGCCCAAAAGTACATCCTCCCATCTGAAGAGATGAGCAGCAGGTACCTCAACTCCAAATTTCTGAATCCCCTGGGTGAATGGCTTTGTTCCTTGTGGCAAAACTTACATTCAACTAATGGCATAAAGGCATTTATGCCCCTTTCCCTTGAACACTATCATGAATCTGTGTTTACCTATGCAAAAGCAAAATTCTAGATGTTCTTTCTTCCCATGCTACACATCTCCAGCTTCATTGTTCCCTCCAGAATGCATCAAGTGACCTTAACTGATACTGATTGCAAATTTGATCATGCTAACATAGTCCAAGCACGAAGAGTGTTTCCGTATAACAAAAATGTCTAATCGATGTTCCACAAGTACCAATTGAAGGTCACCAAATACTATGACAGAAATTCAGCACAGAGCCAATCCCAAAGTTTGTCTTTCCACATCTGTCCACCGCAGCAATATCAAGTAATCTCCACTGGTGRAAAGTAATGGGGATGTCTTGCTGTTGCTGTCCCAGTTGACAATTGACCAGTATGCTTATAACCAAGGAGGAGTGATCAGCCAAATAGGCTGGTTTGTTGACCATGGTTACTTGTTTGATACCAATGCAGACAATGATGCAAAAAAACATTCACTCCAATCAAGATGTGTATGATGACAGACCACAAGGCTACAAATATGTTTACAACAAAATGACTGATGGCTAGTACCAGAAGCATCAGAAGACAGAGGCATCTAAGTCCGACCTACCAAAATGTTGGTTGATCATTGACTGTGGTTTTTCAAATTAAGAGTACAACTGGAACATACAACCACCCTGCATAGATCTTGAAATGTTTTCTCATAGTTGCCTCAGGTTTGACAAGTCAACAAAGGTTAGTCTTAGTACTTAAATGATTATCAGGTGTCATAGCTTCTTCCTTACGCTTGACATAATAATTTGTCTTGGAGAAATCACAGCAAGCAGTAATAATATGCTGCTGAAATAGTTTACCTCCTTCTTTGTGTTGTGGATAGACTCAGAAAAATTGGTTTGGGAAATTTCAAGGTCTGAGTGCTTTTGAAGAAGTGATGGGCCATAATGGCTCAATATTGCTGCATCCATACAGTCCAGGAGCTTCTTTGATGTTTTAAGAAACATATCACAGAAGGTTTCTACAGCTCTTTTGGTACAGCCTAGTAACTGGTGCATATGAAACCTCTCCCCTAGGGAAGCAAGGTGAATGTTGTGCAAATTCATGCCAAAGTAGAGGTTGCAAAAGGCATTTCCGCATTGGATGCAATGATGGTGGATGTTTTGGAAATGTTGTTCAAGGGATACACCTTCCAGAACAGTTGACTCACCAGTGAAATCAGAAGGATGCAACAACCTTATGGGGAAAAAATTGTACTTCTATTACCATCTGGTCTTTTTTCATCCTCTTGTGCCATGGCATTTGTCAGTCTTGTTGTTGGTATACTTGTGTGCCATCAAATATCATGAGAGTACTATTCATATATTTCTTTGAGATAAGTGGTAGAGGTAGCTCCTCATAAACCATCATGGAGATTATTGACGTTGTCTACTGACTGCTTTCTTTTTTCCTGGTGTGTGGTTCAAAACAATCACCACATAGTTTGGAAACATCTTTGTAACATTCCTCCAAAACCTTTTGTACTAAGGTTCTTATTAGACAGCTTCCAGCACTCCAGGTAAATCCACCAGGTAAATTCTCTGCTTCAATTGCCCATTTGTAAAGCTCCCTCTCAGCAACTAATGGAATATTGTGTTCTCTCATGATCTTCATAAGGTTTTGTTGGAGCAGAAACAAACCTGGTCTCCAACGGGGTGGTGATTGTGTGTTCACATCCACTATGTCGTGTGTACATTTGACAGAGTCGAGAAGGGAGCAGCACAAACAAAGCCCCACTACTATAACATCCCCACTAGGTAAGTAGTAATAGAGGTTTTCCAGTAGTAAGCATTAATAGTAATTTCCAAGTAGTAACCAATGAATTTACCTCTCGAGAAGTAAGGACCGCTAATAGAAATAATTTGGGACTTGCAGTTTTTGCGTGTGGAGGCGGGGGGGAGGGGGGAAATGGAGATGGGAGAATAAAAAAATCGAATTATTGTCGAACGAAACGGTCTGGGCTCTCCCTTTAGTGTTTCTGGATCTATGACTTGAAAATGAGATGCGGCGTATGCCAAAATTCTCATTTGTGGATCGGCACTTATCAAAACTTCATGAAGATTGTTCAGAACTCAAATAGATTCAGTAAAATTCATTACAAAAGTAGAGAAATGTCGAGAAAACCTGAATTTTGATGCATCTTCAGAAGTGTGACCATGCTCACACCATACATTTCCAAAGAAGAATCCGTTGGTACGAAACCTTTGATACGATATTGTTTTCTTACGGTAGAGTTGGGTATACCGTGACTGCCTATCGGTACGAGAGATTAGACAGGAACAGCTGCTGAAAGCCACAGAATTAATTAACGAGAGAGTAGGGTATCAAAAAATCTTAACTGACACTAGAAACGAAGATTGACACTCCAATTCGGAATCCATCGCAAAACCAATCAATCGTTCTGYGCATTTGAGACGACCGTTTTCATCAGTGTAGCAGTGTGGACATAAAACATTTCCTCTGTACAATCCCTTGTGCATACGATTCTCTCGACACAGAAGCCAAGCCCTCTATCAGCATACGAACATGCTGCCAATCGCAACAAGTAGAAGAGATCTTCCTTTCATGGCTGCTGATTTGGACGTTGATTTTTCGTCTATCGAAACAGAATTTCGKCGGGATGTACCGCCAAGCACTTACCTACACTCGATCGGCAASACTCAATACCAGCAAAWCGAAACGATAGATGYTTGTAATTTCGATACTTTAAATCCAATACTATTAGAAGARTTAAGCCAAGCTACCACGGGGGAGCAGCAAATAATTTCTGACGACGAAGACGGCTGCCCAATCGAAGAATTTGTGAATATAGATCCAATTCCATTAGATGAAATAAGCCAAGCTTCAACGGGGGGAAAGCAAATTATTTCTGACGACGAGGACGACCGCCCAATCGAAGCATTTCCKGATGATGATTTGGACTTAAATCAAGACTCAGCTCAGCAACAACAGCCGGCATCACTGCAATCCCACGAGATATCTTTTGCCTCGCAACTGCCAGGTAGCAATATCCCGCGTATCACTCCTCTTCAAAATCCAATTCAAAACGAGGACGCAGGAATAGTGCCTTTCCTGAGTCTACAGAACACAGGAGACACCTTCTCGGAGTCGGTGGTCTTTCCAGAAAAAGGTTACAGTTCTGGAGATCGCAGAAGATTTCGTGACTACCAAAAGGAAAAATGGGGAACAAGATACAAGGAATTAACAGAGGTCTTTCAAAAAACGGGTCGAGCTTCAGTSCATCATGCCGATGCTTCCAAAAAGGGTTTGGCTCGCTGGATAAAACGGCAACGAGCTCAATATAAACTTCGACAGGAAGATAAWCCGTCATCGATGACGGACGAACGCGTCGAAGCACTCAACTGCATCAATTTCATCTGGGATTCTCATAGTGCTGCATGGGAAGACCGCATACTAGAATTGAAAGCATTCAAAGCCGMATACAACCATTGCAACGTTTCGTCCTCCGATACTACCATCAGTAAGACTTTGATATCATGGATAAAATGCCAACGACGACAATACCGTCTCATGAAGGAAGGAAAGAAATCTAATCTCACTGCGAGACGAATTTTACAGCTCGAAGAATTAGGCTTTCAGTTCCGTTGATATTCACACGGCCAAAAAGATAGATCGATCAGCCCTGAATTATATGTGCTATTTCATTGTAAATGATTCAAACTGAAAAGAAAAAATAATAGAGGATCACCCATGATCACTGTATATACTTGAATAAAATCCTATTTGCATTCTTTCCTTGCATTCTTTTCTCAATTTKCATTTATTATTTTTGAACAGGTCTACCTGTGTTCTTTGCTAATTTCATAGCCGATTGTGACATCAAGATATCTTTTGTTTTAAAAACTTCCGTGACTTTATCCAACACCATAATGCTCCTGATGCTATGCCTGAAGCTGMAGCTATTTTCAGTTTGGAATAAGGCCACTTGTTTCTCTGACTTTTTTGCACTGATGAAATCTAGTCCCTGGGACTCACTAAAGAATCTTAAGGAAATCTTCTCTGTCATAGTTGTATTTTTCATTCAAATATGATCTAGCTAGTACTAGTAGTACTACTACTACTACTAGTAGTACTAGTAGTACTAGTAAGAACATTCTTGATCAACCCATATTGGCAGGAGCTCTTAGTACTGGTGACAGCTGACATGCCATACTAGGTACTAGTATTATCAACAGTCATAGTACATACTACTATTATCAAAAGTTCTTGTTGTGGTATCAGGACTTGGTGCTGAGAAATGGCCCAAGACAGAACCTACATGATACTAGTACTAGCTAGTACTACGGTACGCAGAATTTTCCTTAAGATGRAACATGATTTTTTGACCCCTTATTATGATGTCTCACCAAAAGAAGTCCCCCAATATTCTTATTAATCCTCCCGTTCCGTCGCACGAAACCGGCCCCCCTTCTGATATCGTGATTTCCATCTGCTACGCAGGTAYGAAACTGCATTCTGAAAAAAAACACTTYTGGTCAACAGATGAGATTMTTTGTTTTTAAMACCTATCTAATTTTCGAAGTGAAATGTYAAGAGAAAATACTATGGAACTACTTCATCTGATGCTGCTGACGGGATTAAAACTACTATTGTATCTACACCGAAAGTTCCTTTCAGGTACTAGTCAGTTGCTGAACCGTTAAATGCGACGAATGGGATGACTCTGGGAAGTTGCCAAAAAAAAACTACAATTATGCTGTTTTGTCCCGGGTTCAGACACGAGATCATACGTACTCTTCCTTTGCTTGCACGTGTACGGTATTATCTCGTAACCCGCAGATCATCAYAACATCATTTCAACATTACGTACTCATCGTCTCTTCCGATAAAAAGGTAGGAACGTCYGCTATCTCGATAGAGGTAACAGACTCAAACCGTTTCATCCTGCTTATAACTTTCAGTCGGTGTGATGATATGCTTATTCATATTAGAAATAMAACAGTAAAACAATCATCGACCAAGCAAGGCCATTCGCTGGTATTCGTGGTGGTAAAAACGATTATCGTATCTTTTTGTTTCAATAGGAAGCCAAACATATGAGTGTACCGAAGACGAGTTCTTTCTTCTAGAGCAGTTAAAAAATAAACTCCTCTAAATCTTACAACAATTGCGCGATGAGGCCAAGTCCAGTCGCTCCTGAACCGACGGGCAGCCAGAAAGCTTCAAACACAGATGGTTTGCCACCGTTGACGTCGAAATCATATACMCGAAAACACAGAGTGGTAGCAACCAAGGTAGAGACAGCAGGATCGTCGAAGAAAATCTCTCTSGTCAAAAAACACGTAAAAACTACAGAGGGCTTTAGCAACGATGATTCCTCTCTACTAGCATCAGCAACTTCTTCCGTACCAGTGGAGAAAGATACAYATGATAACATGAATCCCGCYACTTCCCACGGGGATGGAGACAGTGAATATCCCGATTACAAAGACGATCTTTCCCAGCCTTCTATCGATGATCCATACACATATAGTGACGACAGCGCTTCATTATCAGATGCTTATTTTCTTCGACAACCGTCTCCGGATGGCAGTGTGGCTACTTTGAATGCAGGACACTTTGGATCCTTTCCGTTACCGATTGTGCCCTTGAATCATTACGGCGACGACAGAAYTGATTCGCGACTAGCGTGGTCAGACCCGCCAATTATTCATACGAACGATGCGATGCTTAGATCTAGCGATGAAATGGTATCGGACCATCACGCTTCGGGAATTGCTACTAGCGAAAGTGATAATTCTACCAAGAGAAYGTCTTGCAAGGAAGACCGGCGTCGAGAGAAGCGACTGCAGAAGAGACATGCGCAATCGACACATAAACGCCAAGGAAATCCTGCGTTGCCATCTCATACCGTCSTTGAAGAATTTTCCATCACGGAAAAAACTGCACTCCTCAGACTCAACAACAGAAGTCTTGTAAGGCCCGTATACAATCGTCGCGTCAAAAGTTTTGCGAACAGCGATGCACACCGAAGACATCGTCAGAAACACGAGCTGAGAAAGCACCAACGCAATATTTTATTGCAACAACAGCAAGAGCGACAGGAACAACGTGAAAGAGAAGTATTGGAAATTAGAGGAAAGGTGCAACCACTATCGTCGAAAAAGGACCGATTCTGGTCGTTCTTGTTTCTTCTGCAACTTTTCTTTGTCTTCCTTTGTGCCATCAAAGATGGATTAATTTTTTATMAGTCGTCAGGAACAAAAGGGCTRTTGGAAGATTTGACTTCTGTCATACAACCATCATTTCCGTTGGCTTCACTTTCCACAATTGCCTCAACAAMAGGAACATCCTCTGTCGAAATCAATCCTGAAGCAGGATCGTCGACGCTCGTTATGTTGGATTTTGATGACGACCGTGATGATGACATCGATGCAGCAAAACTTGCTGCWTTTAACGAGAACGAAAGCGACAATGGGATAGACGGAGCATTTACGTTTGATTAYAAAAATGTATTGTCGCTTCTCGCAATCTCTGGCATGTATGCGTGCGTTACCTCGTATCTGAGTTTCGCTCTGATGCTAATTATGGCCCGCTCCATTATCCCCATCATGCTGGTTTTTACTATATTGTTGATGCTCTGCTGGGGAGTATTCGGTTTGACAATTGACACGACCGCGGGATCGATGATATCACTCGGTGGATTTGCGGTCTTTGGTATGAGTTTTGCYTACACTACGGCCAACTGGAACCACATCCCATTTTGCAGCACCAATCTATTTGCAGCCATTTGTGCCATGCGAAGTTCGATTGGAATTCTCGTAATGGGTATTTCCTCTCTTTTTGTGGGGTTGCTTTGGTTGCTGATCTGGACGGTGGCATTGATGGGGATTTTCAATCGGAACAATTATGTCGATTGCGAAATATTTGGTGCATGCGAGACCCATGTCTATATTTCTAAAGATGACAGRATCATCGAAGTTGGATTGCTGCTGTTGAGCCTTTATTGGACAACAACGGTGATCGAGAACATGGTGCGAGTGGCGGTGGCCGGTGCCATCGGTGGACCGTGGTGGTTCGGTTTAGAAGTAGAAAACAGCGGAACGGACGATGCTGCCAACCAAGCGCAACAACAGCCATCCGAGGAGAACGATCACTCTATCCCCTACTCAAGTAGCATTGTATCGGACCCACTGATGCGAGCCTGCACAAGTTCTTTCGGAACAATTTGTTTCGGATCGCTTGTGGACCGTCCGGCACAAATGATTTCAAAGGTGGTTGGTTGCTTRTGCTGGATTACCGACTGCCTTGTAGATGGTGATGGTTCGAGTCCGGGTTACGGTCTTGAAACCAATCGGTATCCTTCAAMTACATCGCTGGCACGGGGTTCCGAAAGCGACAAAGCTCTGGGGGACGAGGAAGATGTCGTTGGCAGCGGTGGAGATGAAGGAGAGATGACTGGGAGCGCAACCACAAAAGAATCGGGGTATGTAACTGCTTTCAGGGCACACATTAATCGCCTAGATCGTGCGATGCGGTCCTACAATCGTTGGTCGTACGTTTACATCGGTATGTACAATTACTCATTTTGTGAAGGTGGAGAGAAAGCCATACAGTTGTTCGAAACGCGTGAATGGATGGACATTGCATGCGACAATTTAATCCACAACATCTTGTTCATGACCTCAATCGTCATTGGGGGCTTGACTGGAATAGTGTCCGTTGTGGTAGAAGAAGTAGATGGATACGAATTCACGTCATTGCACAAGCCGATTGTGACATCCTTTTTGATTGGGTTTTTCCTCGGTTCCATCTTATCAAATATCTTGCTTCTTGGACTCGTGGGGGGCGCAGTCAACACTATCTTGGTTTGTTTTGCCGCAGAGCCATTCGAATTTGATCGAATCCATCCCCATTTGAGTCGAGAAATGAGGGAAGTTTGGAGTCAACAGGTCTGGGAACCCGAGGGGGGGGACGATTGATGTGTTCTTCAGTATGAGGTTTGTCGACCAATGTACATAGGAGCCTGTACGTACACCCAAATTTTGTTGTATGAAGAAAAGAAACACTGTAAAATTTTTTTGTTTTCTGTTGCGAGAAATATGTTGTAATTAAAAAGGGTAATCAATTATTCTTTATGCTGTAAAAGTATGCTTTAATATTGAATTATCTTTTGTCATTGTTTGTACAAAGTACGAACTACGCGTTACTATATTGTCCATGCTAAAATTCAGATCAACCGGAAGTTTTGCTTCCGAAAGATAATATCCAAATAGAGACAAAAAAGAAGTGGACTTTCTCGCAGAAAGYTTGATTTGCTACAAATAGCGTCGTCGAAAATTCACATTTCATATGGTATCCCATCGTGACTAAATTCTTCCGTGGTTTTATGGTCTCGGCTTGAGAAGTACCAGAACTCAGGAAGAACGAGTGACAGAATATCCCCGGCAAAAATCCTGTGGACAGCGTTAAACCAACTATCTCTGACATTCTAATTCGTTCGTCACGACATATCGAGGTTCTCTCCCACGCGTTCGATGGCGGAGAAAACATTCTGAAAATACGAAGGAAATTGAATCGGTCAATAGTGTTGTTTAGAAATCCAAACGAACCAAAAYACACATTWAACCCAAAACAAAGGAATCCCGCTTGACTTACGGCGTCCATCCATGCTTCCACCTTTTTTTCGATTTCTGCTCGGGCTTTTTTGTGTATTAACAAATGGGTAGAATCCAGGTCGTCTAGGATGAATTTCTTGTCCTGAGTTTTGAGATCGTTGAGGTGCTGGATATATTTTTTRGTGGGGACATCGCAGGATATGAGGTAACCCGCCGAGGCCGGCAAATCGTTGGTGTTGCCCGCCTTGCTTCCGAGGCCGGCACCCCTGTTTCCGGCGCTCGACCCTGCCGATTTCCTTTCGACCTTGCGTTTGGGTGGCATGCCGTCTCCTCCTCTTTGTTTCACTGAAATAAAAATTTGCCGACAGATTTGTTGCCCTTTGTCTCTAAAGTGGTTTCATTCATTCCATCCGTCAAAACAGGTTTCTTTGAGACAGATCGTCGTAGTCGTTGAGAGTGTGTGCTTCACTTTTGTTTCATCATTTCTGAAGCGTTCAAAATAAAATAAAAATGTTTGCGCATAAAAAATAAGAAAATGGAAAATGGAGTACGGTACAGGGCTGCGGGCTGCGGGCTACGGGCTACGGGCTACATCATACATCTAGATATGGATCATATGCTACGGTCATATCATACTGTAGTCAAACTGCAGTACGGTCCGTGTACGGTACTGTAGAGGATACCAATGTAAAATCGTTCGTASGTATGAGTACGTACGTACTTTACCTCCCGTCCCGTACGTAATGCTTTTTGTCCTGTTACCTGTTACCGCGTAAGCAATTTTAGGGGGATTACACACATTTATTTAGGGGTAAATACCCTACCTAAAATGAAAATGTCGTTACAGTTCATAATTGTCCATCTTCACCGTTGGTCTTACAGTTTTCTGTTCCCGGGTGTGAGGATAACACTGGATCAACGAGTACCTGTACTGGGTACAAGTACTGGTAGTAGTCCCGGTACTGTTACAGATCGAAGCAAGGCCCAGTCAAAACGAAACCATCAACGCAAAACGAAACAAAAAAAAAACAAGCAATTGCGTCAACAAAGCAGTCCTCGGTTGTTGAWATCTCAGAACTTCTAATTTATTACTTAGAACATCCAACAATTGATTGGTAGGCCGAGGATTAACCTAGAGCAAACAAAGAAACAAYAATCAAAGGAGCACCATGTCGATGTCATCGTCTGGAACACCTCTCTTCGGCAACTTCTCGTCGCAACCGAACAAGACACCGAAGTCTCCGAAGGGTACTATGATCGAAAATCCATACACCAAGAATGCCCAGTACGGAGCCCTGACGCTCACAAATCAACAGTCRTCGTCGCTAGCTCTGCGATCGATGCCGAGAAGTCCGCTGACCGCGATGACCCCGAATCGTGACAATCTTCGCCAACAGAAAGTGAAGCCGATGGCCACACCAGGGCCTCCTCCCAAAATGAGTTTGAGCTTGATGGGGGGGTTGACTACTCCGATGCAGGTAAGTGGAGTTTGTTTCGAAACACGATGCAGTGGTGAGGGAACGATGAAAGTATTTGGAACAATCTGGTGAAAATCGCAACTGCTGCAACTGCCGAGACGGATCATACCATACCGGTAGGGTACGGTATRTATGTACAAAGTGTTGTGACTCGCGCCCAGTATCTATTAGCCGCTGCTATTGTTTCTAATATTTTACCTGYAAATCCAAATACGTCCTGAATACTCGATTGATCGGCGTCGCAGATGAAACCTTCAACCCAAAGACAACCACAGGCGAAACAAGAGGAGCAACGCCTCGACGCTCTCAAGGCACCACAAGCAGTTGCTACACCCATGCCTGTTGCTTCGCCACGGCTTTTGGAGAACAAAACAACCACCGATAACTATTTTGCAGATTCAAATGCAAACTTTTCGTCTCAGTCTTTGGTAGCGGATCACTGGGTCGTTGCTCATGGCTACACCTCATCGAATGAATACAAATCATTACTGGGAATTTTGTCTTCGTTTGGKACGATTGAAAATCAAGAGGCCGGTGGAAACTGGTTGGCTGTTCAATACGAATCACGTCTGTCCGCAGAGAAGGCATTGAGTCGCCAATCGGTCCTCTTGGGCAACACCCTTTGTGGCATGACACGAGGAACTCCATCACTTATGCAGAGCTTATCTTCTGGGAAAGGGCAACACCAACGAAACAATATATTGCCACGGGAGCAGAACATTGACGTGACAGAGGAGTTACACAACGATGGAAAGCACGCCACACAGACTGCGGGAAAACTGGGCGAACAGGACATTCTTCTGTTGGAAAATTCGGCTTACGAAAGCCGTGAGCSGTTTCAACGAAGGTCCATGTGTGACAAAGTACTTGCCTGGTACTTTGAATGGGACGAGCACCCTCACTCCGACTAATCAATCAAAGTTTCTGCCACCCACTGCAATGGTTCAACTATGCTTATGGGGACGGAACTGAAATAGGAACTAGGGAATCGACCATCATTTTCAAGGAAATGCAATTACGCACTTTACTGTATCCATTATCGTAATTTTTAGGCCGAAAGCTACTRCTAGAACCACCATTATTGCAACATTTCGCTGACCCCCAAGTATGAGAGTTACTTACATCGTTGTAGAGAAAGCATGACATATAGMCTGCTTTAATTCAGCCGCGCAGCTCTCTTTCGCTTTTTTTGTTCTTTCCGCCAAATCAATATTGAATCTCTCTAGCTCCCTCTCCAAAAACTGTMAATTGTAACGTGGATGCCAACCCCTTTAGTTCCAAAATATTTGTCCGTTGAACGATCTGGAMTCGTTATCTAGCGTTCCATTTATAGGATGCGGTACGATTCAGGTTGTTATCTTCATTTTTAAATCCCTGTCACCAATGTGTTCAGTAYCTTGCAGAATTTGTTTGTATTGTACTATCATTGCATAATTTATAGCCATCAGCATTGACTATCGTAATACCGTACCTTACGTTGTGCATTCCATCCATCTAAACAGAGCAAGAGCACAATTGAAAAAATAGAGCATTACATTTGTGTTTGTGTGTGGTAATATGGTAGCTAGCAGATGTTCGCATCGTTCTTGGCGGAGAATCCAGATCGCCCGATGGCCCGTCGAATCATGGACGCCAGCCCGACGAGTTGCACCGCCTTGCTAGCGAAGTTGCCATCCATGCGAACGTTTTCTTCCACCCAYGAGCTTASTTTTGCGAGTGTGCGTCGTATGCTGCTGCTGYTGTTGTTTCCGCCACCGAGYTCTCCACCARCACTCAAAAAACGCTTGAACCTGGTCGACAGGTGCGGCAGGATTTGCAGAGCGTTTGCAATCATGTGCCGCTCGCTATTCCCGGAGACCAAATGAAGTTTCATTACGAGGTCTCCCTCGGCGATTTTTTCAAGAATGTACTCGTCCGACGTGAGGATCCGATCGATCATGCCCCTCTCGAGAGCCTTGTCGCCGCTAAGGATCCGTCCGTTGCAGACCGCCGGATCTAGGGTAGGCCGCCTCGATCGACAGAGATCGATGAAGGATTTGTGCGTCTCGTCCAGATCSTTCTGGGTGGTTTGGATGTCTTTGTCCGTAACCTTTCCAAACTGGGTGATCGGCATCTTGCTGTCGCCTGCCTTGAGCACCAGAGATTGGATACCGTACTCCTTCAGAATCTCGTAAAAGTTGAGGGTTTCGGTAATCACACCGACACTCCCCACCATTGCAAAGGGCGACGCCAGTATCTGTGTGGCCTGGCTGGCAATCATGTATCCCCCCGAGGCAGCTATGCGATCGACGCACACAGTCACGTTCCAGCCGGCCTTCCGCAGCCGCGCTACCTGAGCGGCGGCAAAGGCAAAGGAGGTGACCTCTCCGCCCGGCGATTGCAGCATCAGGACGACCTCGGGATTCTGGCCAAACATTTGCTTGCTGGGACCATTGGATCCAACCAAAAAGGTAACCACATCGGCAAAGCGCAAAAAGTCGGGATTTGGAACGTTCATGGTCGAAAAATCCATGACCACCACCGTTTTGGAAGTTTYTTGGTCCGATGAGGATTCCTCCTGCTTGTYGTTGGCCGGATYGATTGGCTGCAGCTGATGTTCTTTTGAATCCTTTTGTTTGCCATCGATGTCTTTCTCGCTGTTCTTGTTCTTGCTTTTTCTTTTGGTTTTGCTTCCTGGTTTCTTTCGTTCTTTCTTCGGCCCCATCGCCCGGACCGTCTTTCCCCACTTCCGTTGGGAGATTCCCATGCTCTGTGGAGCCCGGCCCAAGACTCTATTCCAKATCTCCTCGTCCTTGACGTATTTGTCGTTGAGGCATTCCCACATGAAGTGCTGGAYRGGGGCTTTTGACTCGGACTCAAAGGCCAGCTTGTCGATGATCCACTTTAGCAAAAAGATACGTGACCCAAGCATCAGAAGGTTCACCATTGCCGAAACGACCATGGCCTGACCCGGGGCCAGAGCCGGCATACCGGGRCCGTCGTGCGGAGACATTCCGGGGCGCATTTGTGGGTGYGRCATCGGTGCCGATCGGTACACGATGGCCCCCGGGTAGCCCATCGGGCGCATTTGCTGCTGCTGCATCTTTTGGGCGTTCTGGAGCTGTTCTATGTACTGTTGCACCGGATCGTTGTTCGCTGCGTTGTTTTTCTCGGACTCCTGTCCTTCCTCGTCTTTCTCCTCTTCGTCGTTCTTGCTCGATGATTCCGAATCGGAATCGGCATCCGCTTCCTCGTCGTCCGAGCTTTCTTTCTTGGTTGGAGGAACGTCCTCKTTCTCCGCATCGTTTTCGGAACCGGTTTCTGTTTTGTCCTCCGTGCCCTCTTCGTTGGATTTTTTTTCTTCCAAGGATTCGTTGTGATCGTCATCGTYATGGTCATCATCGATCTCATTCGAAGCCGTGAACATCTCCTCTAGCTTCTTCTGGGTTTCGTCGTCTCCCTGCGCTCGCTTGCGGCGCCGAGCTCCAAACGGGAACCTGGGCTTGTTGTTGTTGTTGTTGTTGTTGTTGTTGCTTGCACCATCTGTCTCCTCTTCCTCTGCTGTAGTCTCGTCCTTTTGGTAGAAATATTGCCAGGAGGTTTTTCTTGTCTTTTTGTCGGCTTTGCTGGCTGCCTTCCCGTCGCTGTCGTCTTCGTCTCCGCTGTTTGGGGTGTTTTGGTCTTCGTCCCCTACGGATCGGTTTCGGGCACTCACACTCGAGGTAGTTGTTGCAGTGGAAGCTGACGAGAGTGGCACGCATTCCAGAAGAGTCACGGCGGCAGCGATGGCGATCAGCAGCAACAGGAAATTTGCTTTGGCACGGCGCAAACCAYTCTTGCGGCGGCTGTGGTTCATGGCGATAGGCGCGAGTTCAGTGAGTGAAGCGATTGAATGGCGCTATCTCCTCTAATAGCTAAGATAGAAAACAAGGAATTGGATCGCACTTGAATGTTTGGAATGTTCAGTTCCTGGCTTCCGGTGGTGGGWTGGTACACAATAAATCTTTTTCACCACTTTGATGAACTTTCTACAACTCCATGAAACAAAGAATGACAATTGAACAAAATCAGATGACACTCGTAATCTTTCGATGTGTCGAGTTTTCACGGTAGAAAATACGTAGCTAGTCTACGCTACGAAGTACGTACGATGATTGACCCTAGATTTTTGATGTTTCGTAGTACAAGTAGTAGTAGTAGTTACGAAGTACTAGTACTGTACAAACTACAAAGTGCGAGCAGCAAATCTCGAGGTTTGTGATGGGGTGTCGAAGAAATTACGAGAAAAACCAATTTTTGCTAAGTCAATCACTAAAGAATTTAGTCCCACATCGGCAATTTTGAACTTGCGTCATCGTCTTGCAAGCCAGATGAGGATCTCTAAAMAACAACATTCTCGAGAAGACATCCGAGAAAGAAAAACTGACGACGAATATCCCGTTGACTGCAGTACAATAGCAGTACTATTCTACCTGGAAAAAGGTCCGCCGCCGCCCACTGCAGCAAGCCATTTACCTTGGCCCGCAATCCAAGCTACAGTTATTCACACGAGTCATGAGGAATCATTACTATCGGGTCTTGTTAACCTTTTCTCCTCCCTTGTTGGTATCGGCGGCATTTGTGGGCAACCGATTTTCTCAGTCATCCTCCACGGCGTCGGCGAGCAGCAACCTTATCGGAACCTACCCKCGCCTCTACATGGCATCGGACAAGAATCCGTTTTCGTCCATGATCGGAGATGTCGCCTCGTCCCTCTTYGGTGCCGGCASCAAGGGGGACCAACAGAGCGCATCCAAGGTCGATGAGGCTCTGGGAAAGATCGGCGGAGACGGAAGCAAGACCTGGCCGGAACTACGATCCCAGCTCGAGTCCCAACAAACTACGGACGAAGAGCGAAACTTTCGAGCGAACCTAGAAAAGGGGTACGGGATCCAGGGAAGTCCGATGCACAAGATCCGCCTGTTCGACGAATCCAACAAAGAAGAGGACATAGCGGTCACGTTTTATCGGGACTCGGCGTCGTGGTGTCCCTACTGCCAAAAGGTGTGGATGACGCTGGAGGCGAAACAAATCCCCTACCGGGTGGAAAAGATCAACATGCGCTGCTACGGAGACAAGCCGGCGTCCTTTCTCAAACTGCAGCCCGGTGGGCAAATCCCCGTGGCAATCATCAACGGGAAGGTRTACGGACAATCAAATGACATTCTGTTGGCCCTGGAGGGGCTCCCACAGAGCAAGCGGTCACTGAATCCACCTTCCCATCTCAGAGGCGAAGCCCAGCAACTGTATGGGTTGGAGCGGCAGCTGTTTTCGGGCTGGATGGGATGGCTGACCAGTGGATGGGGCAAGGATCAATTCATCGATACTCTAAAATACGTCGATTCCGTTCTGCAAAAGGCCGACGGGCCCTTCTTTCTTGGCAAAGATTTCTCGCTGGTGGACGTTCAGTTTGCTCCTTTCTTGGAGCGAATGGTCGCAAGTCGTAAGTAGCGTGAGGAGTTGTTTGACCGAGAGCATTTGAGGCTAACAGTGCTTCAACGACACACACCTCAAACCAGAACTCGACCGTTTTCGTCCTGACCAACATTGCTCCGCGGATTGTTGCAAAATCGTTTTATCTATTGAACATCAGTACTCTTTTTCAAAGGATTTGTCATTCGTGTTCCCCCTGGCGAGAGATCGACCGCCGAATATCCGGGGATCAATGCTTGGTTTGATGCCATGGAACAACTTCCGGCATACCAATTGACAAAGAGTGATTATTACACCCACGCCTGGGACCTGCCACCACAGCTGGGTGGGTGTCGTCCTGAACAAGGCAGCAAACCATACGAAGACGCAATCAACGGAGTCCGTTCCCTGGATGGCACACAGGGAAGCTGGGAGCTGCCACTCCAGGCAGACAATGGTGGAGTCGAACCAGACTGGACGTTCATTCCGGGGGGCGAACCGGAGGCGCGACGGGAGGCAGTCGAACGAATTTCTGCCAATCACGATGCAATCGTTAAGTTTGCTTGTCGGGGAGCGTACGTTTTTCTTTGGCTCGAGTGCAGCACTATATACCATGTTGTTTATCACGAGTTTCGGAGCTGACACTATCGTTTTTTTGTTTTCTGCGTCGTGCCACAGTGGCAGCAAGGGATTTCCAAATTTTGGGGCACCCCTGGCTGATCCAAACGCCGTACCAAACGATGCCCTGCAAAACACGGTCGACAAGTGCCTTCGTACGGTCTGCTCTGCACTACTGGCAGACTCCGTCGACGGACACAACGCGGAAATGGAAGCCATTGCCAAAACGATCGTCTCCGAAGGAGGCAAAGAATACACGGGCGGAGTCGTTGCAAGCCTTGCCTACCTGAGGGACAGGGTCGGGGTCCCTCGAGACATGCGACTTCCCGCAGCACGACAGCTCCGAGCCCATCTGAATTGGTCTATCGGGATGATTCTAGATGCATCCGAAAACTAAGTCCACCGATAGAAAATCCAGAAAGAAAATGCTTTATTTTAATACAGAGATCTTGGATATTGTTTTTCCATTGGCTTAGTTTTCGACGAGGCGGCTGTCATGTTTGTCGAATCTGAAAAGAAAACGCAAGTAACCACTACCTCATACGTCAAAGTCAGCACCCATGCCAAACATTGTCTTGATTTTKCCTTCGCTCGAGTAGCAGACGTCGTACTTCAAAGGGAGCCCCTGGATGTTTTTYCGCAGCCCCACTCCGATACTTGACTTGGAGTAGAAAGGGCTGTTCATATCTTTCTGGGCACAAAACCAGTCGCCAAACAAAACCACCGATCCGCTGCCTATCTTCGGAGCGGCAACCGGKACACGAATCTCGGTGGTCCCCTTCACCACTGTCGTGGCCGAATCATCGGCAACGGCTCCTCGAATCTGAGCGGAGTTCCCCATTGCCTTTGCTTCGTGACGCGGTAGGTTTGGGGTAGAGGCAGAAACTGTGTGTTGGAGTGCCAGAGAGATAGGCACTTTGTCGTTGTTTTTGTCTCGTGAGGAGGAAAGGGTGATCGGAAGAATTTGTTTGGTTGTCGCGGATGCCGATGAGTACGGCAAGAGGCCAGTGCCCGCGAACGATATGCTACCCACACCGCCGCCGTCCGATTCTTTCCCTACCAATCGTGCCCCTCCAGAAATAGTGGTTGACACACTCGTTTTCCCATCCATGGGCATGAATCTTCGGAACGGTCCTAGAGTCAGCGATGCACTTCCGATGTTTTCCAGCTGTCCWGTTGTGGTAGATGTGCGTTCCAGGCTGGCACTAGCGACGCTGTTGGCAACAACGCTCGGGCTGATCGGATTTCTCAAACGAAACGTGGTCCCACGCCGACTCAGGAGAGAATCTTCGAAATCCGACGACGAGTCGCTCTCTTGTTTTTCTTCGCTGTCCTCTTTTTTCGACCCAGTGTCTCCCAAAAAGTCGGAAAAGGCTTCCACATCGTATCCTCCCTCCAAGCCAAACTTGTCGTCGCCGTACCGAAGCCTAATGCTGGGAGAGGAATCTTTSGTACCGCGTCGCACCATTACTCCCACGGACTCGCCACCTCCGAATATATTACGCCAATCAAAGTCCACTTCTCCTTCCCAGGAATTGGTCCACACAGATTTTCCAATTCCGTATTCCAGGTGTCGAGGAGGGGGTTCCATCGCATACACCTGTAAGCAAACRCCGCCATCCGTAGTGGGCTCCGGTGATGCCTTGAGAACCTTGGAAAAAATTCCRCTCGATGCAATCTTGCCCCARCGGGTATCKAGCCAACGAAAGGGTGTGCCCGGTTTGAGCTTCATRGCCTTAGCGATCTTGGTCGGATCGGTCCGTCCGGTGGTGGGAACCAGCGTSGTATTCAACTGGCTGCGGTCGATTTTCAGATCCGGGGCCCGRCCAAAAAGCCCAGCGGGTCGCTTCTTTTCCAGCTCGCTCAGTTTTTTGGCCCGATACTTTTTGAAGGTCACGAGCTCGCCGGTGTCGTCGTCGACGACCATTTCTTTGCAAAAGACAATGTCGACCGGGAGCCCCGAGACGAGGGGTTCCTCAACGGAAATGCTGGCCGTGGCAGTGTCGGGATCGAGGCTGGCACCCGTGACGCTGTGCAGAACATACCCCTGGCGCATGTACCAGCGCTTCAGGTTTCGGGCCAGTTCCTGGACGCGGTCCATCTTGAGCGGGCCGCCGATGATCCCCGACCGCTTGACGGCGGTGCGGACGACGTCCGGCGGAAGAACGGTCGAGTTCGGGACGACGACCTGGCGGACGGGCATGACCTCGAGGGCCTGGAGCAGTGCCTCGCGCTTCTTGGAATCCTCGGACCGGAACTTGCTCTTGACGGAATCCACCGCACCTCCAACGGTCGATTTCCAGAAAGAGGCGGCCCTCGTGATCACCGCCTTGCCACCCTTGAGAACCCCGCCGTTTTGTGCATTCGACCCGCCACCGCCACCTCTGCGCAAGGCCAGCAATGGTTTCATTGGGGTGGCATCTGTGGTGAGATCTAAGAAATCGTCTCCGTGCTCGCCGTTGTCGGATTCGGTGTTGGTGTTGTTGAGGCCAAAGTGCTCGTCGTATGATGCGACATCGTCTTGGTGGCTCCACGACGATTGGGTAACAAGGGTGGGAAGAGGGGGTGGACGATACTCACCTCCACTGCCCTGGCTCCCCCATTTCATGCACATCGTTATGAAAAGGAAGGCCGGCAACATCGTTTCTTGGCAGCTGTTGCGTCGTTATGGACGGTGCTTGTACGGTTGTTATTTATTCAATCAATAGTGGAGATGACCGAAAGGGATGACCCTGTCCTGCTTCTGTTCTACTCGCCCCGACTATGAAACATAGATTGCGCTCGTGCTAGCAATCGTATCGTAGGTGGTGTGTTATCAATATTAATGCTATGGCTTCGATTCAAATCGTCAATCGAGAATTCGCATTGGTATCGGATCCTGTTCCGATCGGAATAGGAATACTGCAGTCGCGAGTTTCTTGGTGTCGCTGATAGGCAGATGTAATGGTGACACCCCAATCAAATACGTAAGTGCTTGAGCATTCCCAAATCTGTTTTGCTACTGAAGAAAGATACGGCAGTTTCGGAATAGTTTCTGGAATTTGTCTTCCCTGTGGGGTCATTCCCGTTTGAGTCGTGACTTAATCTTCGGGAGAGGGATAACAAATCAAAGTCGGGATCGATAGAAAGTTACCAGTAGTACGGACAGAACGAGCTCGGCAGGTACCGTACGTACGGAATCCACCAACTGAAGCGAATTCCTTTTGTAGTCACGCCATCCACGAGAGCGACGTCCATGTACCGTACGAACGCACTCGTACATCTGAACGAAAGGTTCATCGATGGTTTACGGTACGAGACAACGGAAGACGTTTTGGATATGCATCGAAGCCTTCTACGGTACCGTACAAAAAACCTCATCGTTCGACCTACACAGAGATAAGAATTTACGCAACGAAACGCATCGCAACAGCAACAGCAATATCAATATCAATAACAACAACGATCCCTCACACACGCACCATGGACCTCGTCGAAGCGGATCTCACACCGGGACAGGACTGGAGAGAGTCTCTGAACGCAACCTGCAACCGCCTTTCCACCCAGTACATCAACCTCCTGCGCGCCGCCTCGTCGGTCTCGGCTCTCGAAAAGGGCGGCGGCAGCGGGAGCAACAACGCCCACGATCCAAGGGCCGGAACCGGAAAGATGATGTCCCTCCAGGACCCGCCCCCTCCGTCTCTGGCCGCCGAGATTGCCTCGAGCTCCTTGCAGTGCCAGCTGGCGGCGGAAAACATCTGCGTGGCCTCCTCCCAGCTGCTCTCCCTCATCCGGACCCTGCGGCTCAGCATTTTGATGATGGACGAGGAAGCCATTGCGGCGGAAGAAGAGCTGCAGGTCTTGGAGGTGGARAAGATCACGACCGAGGCACAGCACCAGGCGAACCAGCTGGAAAAGGAATGGATGCAGCTCCGGAATTCGGAGTGAATYGCATTCGGATATACGCGTCGGGCCAACGATAAAGCCAAASGAACGAGGTGCCGGAAACAGCACGATGCAGGACGAGCATGGAATAAGATGTGTTTGAATGAATTCCAATACTGCCGTATGACCCATTACTCARTCTTGCATAKTTGCTTSAATTCATCAAACGATGACCATAGTGTGCCGCAATAGCATTTTTTCGGTTGGGCTGAGTTGGAGTGGGTTGGATTGGATTGGACTAGATTGAATTAGATCGATTCGCATCGACAAAAGCTGTACCTCTAGGCTTGACTGTACGGTGTACGYTGGTGATCGAGCGACCAAAAGACCAAACCAAACAAACAAACACACAAACAACAAMGAGTCTCGACAGCTATTGATCTTTCTAGAATTTCGGGAAACGCAACGCAACTGCAACCGATCAACAGGAAAGGATATCGAGTGCTATGTGAGGTACTGGGTTATGCTGTGCCGTGCTTTTCTTCCCGYTGTTGTCAACCGAAGACAAAACCAGCCKTTGATGGATGAAATGCCATGTTGCATACATACCGAGGTATACAAAATAGAAGTAATTGACAAAAACGAAACATCAATACTTCGTAAATAAACATGCCAACGCATAATGATACTAGTCTGTTTTTTCCCTCTCGATGAAAATCTTCCTTCTACTTCTTACGAGGATTTGCATCGGCATTGACAGACATGGGTCGGCAAGAAACGTTTTGTGTCCACAAGTAAGGGTATGTAGCTAGTCTTTCTAAATATTATGGCAATGCAAGAGGGTTTGCCATCGGATTGCGTTTGGTGTTGCAATCACTCTAAAAAAGCTTGGTCGTTGCGGTCGTTGCGGTCGCTGCCACGTCAATCCATCGTGGACTTCCAACAAAATGCCGCACAACATGCGGATACGTTGCACGTCAAAATTGATTTACGGTGTAGCGTCGAGTCGAAGCATTTTGCTTTACTGTAATCTTGCGATTCATACAATGGGCCGTTCCGCATTTTCGAAATCTAATAGCGGAGTGTTTTGTCGAGAAAGCCAGTTCCATCGAACACGGCATATACTTTCAAGGAGGAGGAAAAARTCCGACCGGTAGGTTCGACCGAGGGTCGCACCGCAAAACAGAAAGAAAGGCTTTGTTCCAGGGTTTTCTCAATAGTATTTGGGAGCTCCTCGAATCAATGGAACAGAACCGTCACGCCGCCATCGCGCTCACCAAGATATCCTGTTGCTCCAGATGCATCCCAATTGTCCGCACACCAAGCAAAAATTCCCGGGCGTCCCGCTCGTCGCCGAGGGCCTTGTCCCTGGCCTGCGCGGCGAGATCCTCCGAGTACTTTAGAGAGACCCTYGCGAGTGCGTCTGCATCCAACAGACCTTCCGTCCGCTGGAGCTTTTGCTCTTCCAGCACGGCGGTTCGGACCCGTTGCTTGTTGTGGATCCGCTGTCTGGCTCCYCTAGAAGTCTTTCCCTCGAGGCCCCGGCTGCAGTAATCGATGTTGTCGCAGTAATCACCGTTCATCATCATCTTGACCGTGACCTTGGCCATGGCTAGGATAATTTTGGTGTCCTCCGGGGTGTACCACRCGCTCTCTCGCTCTTCTTCCTTCATGTCTTTGATTTGGATGTGCCTCCGTTTCGTTAACTTGGTAGACCAGCGAACCGATTTTTTCGTCGGATTTCCACTCTGCTTTTTTCGGTTTCCCATACAGATGAGACTGCTTCGATTTGCATTTGTGTTTGCGGGGCTTCCGCTGTTGTCAATGTGGTCCGAACGCGAACCTTCGCCGAACTCGCTCGGAGCTAGGGGAAGATGCTCGGCTATAGTTTCCACCCTGKTGGCTCGTGTACGTTCATCTCCGCGGAATCCGCGTCCCRTTTGGATGAATCTGCGTATGGGCATCGTCGTTTGCTTCGGCTTCGGGGCTCGTTCTCGGTCGTCGATCTATATCTGTCTTATGTATGCGGACGGTATGGAAGAGTAGGTCGAGACTGTGAAGGTTGAAAACCGAAAACCCCCCGCCGTGCTGATCTCAATTTGGGAACAGGTATCAGGCGATCGATTCAATAGTGGAAYGTATCAGTAGTTATGCTCGACAAAATGTTTGGTGGGACATTTTCCGTATATTCACGACCTACTTGAGTTTTAAGAAAAATTGTGCGGTGGCTTATTTTTATATTTTTATTCATCGTGTCACGAATATTATTTTCTTCAAGAAGAATTTTACTGAGGGCACTATTCAAGAAATAGTTTCGAGTCGCGAACACCTTCATTCGGAACCTCCCGTACAAGATTGCTCCAAGACCGCGGCACATCATGGAGGACGGTAGTTTTTTACTACTACCTCCATCCCTAAATAATGGTGCAGTTTGCCCTATTTTATTTTTCCAAAGTGATGGTGCAGTATTTACTTAACAGATTTTGGAGTTTCTGGCCATTGGATTGCACAAATGACTGTGTATATGACTGTGTTCAACACGTAGAATCAGTACTGTAGATAAAAATGAGCATGCATGTGAAAAAAAATATTTTTTTGTCACACATGAAAATACACTTTATTAACACAGGAACTCCAAAGTTTGCACTGGTGAGTTTGGATTGACAATGGTACCGAGCACCTCTTTTAAATGAAAATGACCAATGCAAGAAAGTTCTTCATACTAAAGAGAATTACAGCCTCAAAAATGTGTCACTCTTGTTGGCTGGCTATCATGTGCTAGTAGTAGTACTAGTAGTAGCAGCCTATCAAAATGACCGGTAGAACCCTGCAACTTACAGTATTTTCATATTGATACAAAAAATAATCTTTTTTGAAGGCTTATTCCCTTATTGTTGCTGGTATGACATTATAGTTGCATAAGTCATATCACATTCAAAAAGTATTCAACAAGATCAACATGATGAAAAAAGAAGCAGTCAAATCACACAAATATTGAGCTTAATCCAACCCAAGAGGTGCAAACTTTACTGGTAGTAGTATTAGTACTACCTGTCTAAATGCCCTTCTTGAACTATGGATTACGTCTTTTGCAGTACACAGCAAATGGAAGTCAAAACAGATTTTTTCATGTACTTAGTACTAGAGTGGTCCATGCCATCATATCAGCAACTTATCATTTGCAACCACTTAATTTTCACGGAAAAAACTGTTATTTTTTAAGAAACAGCAACAATTGACACTTATATTTCTTGAATGGAGAAACAGTTTATAGTGCAAAAAACAGCCATTCTCATTTTGAACTATGTAAACTACAGTCTAGGTTTAAAGAACTTCATACCAGATTTTTAGTGTTTTTCCCCCTCAGACTCCCATTTCCATTGACTATTCTAGCCAATAAAAACACTATTCTAGTAGTATTTTCAAACTTTTTGACTTCCATGATTCTGAGGCATTGACAACACAAAGAATGGTGGTAACAACAACAAGTTCTTTTTTAATGTGAAGTGCACTACTACTACTGCTGCTACTAGTAAGATTACAGAAATGAAATGCATTTCTTTTTTTATCATATTAGTACTAGTACTACTAACAAGACTAGAAACTCCTTCATTCCCCTCTTCTTGTTGATTGGGCCCCCATCAAGGGAAGAAAGTGATTTTCTCTATTTTCCAAGCAATATTCTCATTTGTGTTTCTCTTTGGTCTTTAAACATCAAGAAAACAAAGATCAGAAACAAGTAGGGCAGAACTTGCTTGTTACTACTAGTAGTTTGTCTTTGTATACATAGAGGAGACACAAAACAAGAAGGGAGATACTCTTATGATCATTTCACAGCAATATACAAAGAGCATAGTACTAGTACGTCTTAGTAATAACAAGAGCCATCAGACACATTTTTTCTCACTGACCCCAGACCTGTCCACCTGAAACCATTTTGTTTCCTCCTGACAACTCTGAAGCTTAGATACCTAGTCAACGGTACAACNTAGTATCAGTTTGTGTGACAATGTAGTACTAGTAGTAGTACCCTTGTTGTTCTTGGAAATGGTGATTTTTTGTTTTATACCAATACTCAAAACATTAAGTCTGACACTCAGAGTGTAAAGTCTAACATTAAGAACATGTAGTGTCGTGTTCTTGTAGTACTATGGTACTACAATGCTCTTCCTAGTAGGAAGAGAATTCAGTTGCTATCTGTAGAAGAAATACTAAAGTACCGTACGGTACGTACTACATTTTACATCTTAGTAGTATTTTATTTTTGGACTAGTCCGCGTGAAAAAAAAAATGTACGGCGGCGGCGAGTGCGTACCGTACGGTTTGTACGAGTATCTACAGGTACGAAAATAAACAAAAACCTCACAAAATTCGTGATTTTGAATGCGGCAGAACACCATACTTGGTACGTATTAGAGTACCAGGTACGAGTATGAGTGCGTTATAAGACTATCGATTTCTAACAGGTTATGAGCACATAAAACGCGCCAGTTTTTGGCTAACTTTGTATGCTTCTTAACTCAAGAAAAAGCACGAATCAGAATTAGAGAATCCATCAGTCGGAATGGGTTTTCTTTCCTCGTCACAACGATGTGCACATTGCTAGGTGTTTCTTTTGGAAAACCTTTTCGGGCTTCTTGATTTCTCTCCGCACCGAAAATACAAATTTTTCTCATTTAATCAACCTCAACAAAGCAAGCTGTCACTCCTCCAGATCTTTATCAATACCTAACCAATCGCGCTCACAAGACAAGTGTTACAATCCTTACAATAAGAGGAAGGGGATCGTGAAGTAGCGGATCGATCGACTGAGTGGTTTTGGAGGAACAGCACTGTAACTACCAGTAGCGAAATCGACGAAAAACAGCAACGACGAACTCCATAGTGTAACAAAAAAGAAACCATCTTCCCCTCCATAACAAAGACAACCAGTGTGTTGGAGGTCCTTAATACATCAAAGGAGACTTGATCCCGAAGTATCGTTGCAATCGACCGGGTATTTTGAAAGAAAAAGCAGTTTTTGCTGTATTTTGGGTGTATTTCGCCTCTGAAATGAGCAATAACAGCAACAAGAAGATGAAAACAAGCATGCCAGGGCCCCCCAGAGCTAGCG